TTTTGTTTTGTTTTTTTTCCTTTCTCCTTAACAGCAAAAAAAATATTGTTTACAAAACCATATTTGCCTCAAGTGGATGTGCTCATGGCTCTGCCAACTGGGCGAGTCAGTAAGCGAAGGCCTCCGCGTAGGGAAGGCTGCTGCAGGGATCCATCTCCAGGAGGTAAGCCGGGCTGTCCTCGAAGTGTGTCAACGGCACCGTCTCCTCCTCGGGCACTGGGCAGTCGGTCTCCGTTTTCAGGAAGGGACGCTGATTGTCAGGATAGGCCATGGAGAAAAGGGCGTCGGGGTCGCAGACAAATTTATAGACATATCGCTCACCAGCCACCTGTACGCAGGAGGAGAGGTGAGAGCTGCCCCATGCCTTCACCCCAGGGAATAACAAGCGTGGCACAACCAACACTACTGTCACTGGATGCCAACATGACAGTCACCCCCTCCACCCGCCACCACCGGGGTCACTCACCTTCTGCATGATGCCCTTCTCGTAGTAGTAGCGCAGGGAGCGGCTGAGCTTGTCGTAGTTCATGGCCGGTCGATTCTTCTGGATGCCCCAGCGCCGCGCTACCTGTGGGGAGAAAGGTGGCAGCTGTGACGGCTCCAGCCAGGGTTTAGATGGGATCAGCCCAAAATGTGGGGTAGGGACTCATTTCTGGGGGTGAAAGCGTCACTGCGGTCCTAGGGTGGCTGCAATAAATGCTCTGGCGCTGGCTGCCACAACACCACCAAACCAGGGGCCGGATCAAAAGACATTTGATTAGGGGAGCTTGCCAAAAACACCACTTCCAAAAAACACAATTTCCATGCACAGCATAAGAGATATTATGGGTAATTACCCACAATGCACAGCTCGGCGCTACAGCTGCTTTCAATTACTGCCCAAACTGCTTCTTCCTCTGTGTCACCCTCCTGCAGAGCCATACGGCTCCAGCACGGCATGGAGCCGCCACCAGGGACCCAAGGCAAAGGATCAGAGCAGTTTAGGCAGGAGGGAGCCACGGCTGAGTGGTGGGTCTCAGCAAGGCATGGCACAGAGGACACATCACCGTGGCTGGTGACCACCGGCGGCTCCAGGAGCAGAGCACGTGCTGTGCCGAGAGGCAGCAGAGGAGATTAAAGGCAAATTTCTATGGCTTAGCACAGGCAGGCAGCTGGCTTTTCCCTCAAAAGCTGCCTGGAGAGTCAAGACACGTGTCTCACTTCAAGCGTGAGCACGAACTGCTGCAGATCCGGCCCCCCTGGGCCCCCGTGTTCACCCCACGGCCGCTCCCAGGCTGCGGCTCCAGCATGAGGGACATTGGGGAAGGACCCCCCGTACCTCCTCAGGCTCAATCAGCTTGAATTCCATGCCGCGGCCGGTCCAGGCGATGAAGTGGGCATTGGCGGGGTCGTCCAGGAGGGTGACCAGGAACTGCCAGAGCTGCAGGGACCCGCGCCGCTGGTAGGGAGGGCCCTCACGGTACAGGGTGGGCTCCTGCTTCACTTTACCTGCCCACACCCAGACACAGCTGGTCAAACACCCCGGCTCTTGCTGCATCACCCAACAGGGGATACATCCATTGACACCAGGCTCACCCCTGTGCCAGGACCCCCAGTGCAGGATCAGGCCATGGGGTTGGAGAGGGTGCTGGGGACAGCAGTGGGTGGTGGCAGGGATGGGGCATGGTGGCAATGCCAAGCTGCCACACAGGACAAAGCTCAGCAGCTCTCAAGGGCACAGCACCAGCACAGCTTGGCCCTATAAGCCAGCAGCCACTGTGGAACCTGGCCCCGAATCACCTCCATGAGCCCTGCTCAGCCCCCAGGCCCCCTCTGGACCTGGATTCTTACCCTCCAGCCGCTCAGGTACCACACACGTGTCATCAAAATACAATCGTGTGTCCTTTTCATATGAAAATCCTAAGGGGAAAAGACCTCTCGTGAGCATAGAGCCCATCCACCACCCCAGCCAGACCCCAAAAAAACCCTGGCTTGGCCCAATCCAGAACCAAGATCCCGTCCTCAGCACCGGGAACAGCCCCATCCCCAGTTATTTTGGTGGCATCACATCAGCTCCCTGGCTGAGCACCGCACTGCTCTGTCCCCCACCACCCCACAGATCCAGGGGGAACCAAAACCCTCTTAGCAGCTCTGTCGGACACATTATCCCGGATTACATGGCAGGGTGTTGCCGTACACTCCCAGCACAGGCTCCGTTTGTAGCAGCAGTGCTGGTGCTGCTGCACAGGGGCTCTCATGGGCATTTTGGAGGTTCCTGGCAGCTCTGCCAGCCCGAAGGGATGGGATACAACAGGGATGGCCATGAGCAGGCTGGAGACTCACTCACCGTCATGGCTGCTGGAGAAGACACCCCCCCGCAGGTATGAGGACTGGCAGTTAGGCACTTCTGTGAGGAAGATGAAGGTGGCATTAAGGATATACATCCCACGGGTCCCACTGAGCACAGCCTGCAGCCAAGCCCAGGCACCTTCCACCCTGTGCCCCGGTGCACTCACCCCAGCCTCCACACCCAACTCTGGGGGAAAACCAGTATAATTTATGGGGAGTAAGGGGGTCACTGGAATGAGTGCTGGGAGCAAGATCTATGTCAGCTGAGGTTTTCACCACGTTATTCAGGCCCCACAGGAAGGGAGGCGTCACCGCATCTCCCTTGCCATCTGCTCGGTCGTGCCACCCTCCAGCCCGAGGTCGGGGTATTTTTAGGCCCTAAGGCGATTAGAGGATTTTTTCCGTGATG